CAAGCCATGCCAAGCCACCATGCGCCAGCGAGCCCTCCATAACTGATGCGACTTGCTTCTCGATGCGCTCCATTCCCTTTGTCAAGATAACCTAGTGTAACGAGAGAACAATCTGGGAAGCATGGCGAAATCCAACACTACCAATTCTGCCAAACAAGCAGCAGTTGATTCAGCAGTTGATTGAACTGATGTCAAAAACAGACAAGGCTGCTGGAGTCAACTCATTCAATCATGCCAGCCACGTGGCCATATCTTTGGCAGTAGCCAGGCCGGAGAGGGCTTGCATGCCACCCATGAACTCTTCCTGATGTTGGTCCCACGTCAATCTCACTGTGCGACATGCACGTCCGGCGTTCCCTGCAGAGCCGTCTAAGCCGTGACTGGCCCTCGCCGAGCGCAAACTCCGCTCAGGGAGCATCCCACAGAAGAGGGGTGCGCCTTTTAGGGTCCGAAACTTAATGTCCGTGTCCGCCAAACAGCCAGCCGCTTGCCCAAAGCCATCCACATCGCCAAGTCACCAAGTCCAGCTCCCCTTCACCATCCTGGGCTTGGTGAGGTGAATCCTAAAGCACCAGGCCTCTACTTGGTATCCGTAACTTCCTCCTCTGAAGGCTATCTAAATAACAGGCCTTCGTTTTCGCAATGATCTTGAAGGGCTGTGGAGGAGTTGTGCTGAGTTGGGGCTCTTCTCCGCAAGGCCGCGACGCCAAGCTGCAGTATCCAGCAGCATGAAAAGCTGCAGAAGCGTGTCTTCGGTCAGGCCCATGATGGTCAGCTTATTCCGGATGTTCTTAGTTTTGCACATCATCTCGCTGAATGACAGCTGGCGTTCAAGTCAATCGCCGACTTGTGTGCAAAGCAGCTTGGGGCATCCCTCACAGAAATCGTGTGCGCCAATGCGGCAAGAGCTGCATCTATGCTAAAGGCATTCTGGAACTCATCCAATGTCACCTGCCAAGCAACACAGCCCCCGTGCTGACTACAGCCGCATATTGGACACATGCATGTCTCGGATTCTGACCTTCTCGAGATGATGGAAGGCCACGTCATGAAGCAAATTAGTGCAACAATTAACTATTGATGACAGCTCTGGGCCTGTTCAGTATCATCAGCACATTCAGCATCACCAACAACGACGTCAGCTTACAGCATCTTCCAGCAGATTCAGCACAGGGCCTACCCAACCCAACACCCAACAAAAGCAGGACTCCCTGCATCAAATAAATCAGACGGATGTTGTCACTTCATGGCTGGCGCGAACGAGCACCTTGTGAACAATCTCAGGCACCTCTGAGCGATAGCGTCCACGGAGAGGTGTAGTGCAACGCTACAACAGCCCGCCAGAACAGTCTGACGCCGAGGCACAGCGCCAGCAGAGGACCAGGAGCAGCGCCCAAAGCTTGGCTTGCATTTGCCTAGACTCTGGATACTCCAAAGGCTCCCTGCGCAACAGCCAGCCCAAGTCACAATCAAGTTCGTAGAGGACAACCTCGATGAGTTGAGCGAACACGAGATGCAAATGCGATTCATCGATCGCTCGCGCCACGCCCGTCCACAACAAGATCGATCGACGTCGCCATGGACCGACCCGAAGATTGGGAGGACGGCTTCTGCAGGACCGCTGGCGCTTGCAAGTTTACCGTAAGTGAAAGGATAAGGTGCCCCAAGCAGCAATTCTACCCGACCGATGCACGTGCACCTGAGTGCGTGGCACAGGGCGGCCCACCACCCATGAGCCGAGCCAGGACGACTGGTACTACGAATAGCGCCGCTCCTGGACGTTGTCGCGCTAGTGATGGAGTGAGCTTCGCTGAAGGGTTAAGGTTGCACCACATGTTCCATATCAGGGAGCCAACTTGCCTTTGCCAAGTGAAAAGCTGCCCTCACATGGCCGTGGACACGTGCAAAATGACCATCATGAGTTCAAACAATAATGAGAGAAAACCAATTGTCATGATTGTTTTTACAAGCGTATGTGCATGCGGGTGGCTTCTTCTGTCATTGGGCCTGTGGAAGGTCAATGATACATGCCGCAGTTCAAGTTCGAAGCTACGGTTGGTTCCGACGCTGGGAAAGCCGAGGCCAGGTATCTGAGCAGGCAGCCTGCCCACTGCCATCCTCATCCAGTTCCAGAAACATCTCCTCTTGAAGCAGGGACATCTATGGTCAAAAGCTGAGGAGCATGACACTGAGTTCTGCATGCTTTGTGACTCTTAGACTCTTGCGGTGAATTCGGGAGACGTCTTTTTCAATGATACAGTCATATCATGTCCTGGAACTCCTTAAGCTCTTGCTCCCGCTGCAGCATCAACCTAAGGCACGTAGCTGAGAAAACAACTATTTGCATTTAAACCACCCCCCTTTTTCTTAGCGGCTGCTAACATCACTTCTGGCGGCGTTGGAAGTCGAGCCAGGGCAAACTGAGTTCTTCTTTAGTACCTCATTGGGGCCTCTTCTGGAGCTTTAGAGGTGTAATTGCCAGCCAGCCCGAAAGCAGGGCGAATGACTTCAAGAATCCAAGCTGCTGCTTCGCCATGTCGGCCTCATCACACTTGGAGGTCTCGAAGGCTTCGTTGCAAATGATGGCGGTGACCAAATTGAGTAGCACCTCCCCACATGTGCGTTGGCGCTGGCGAAACCTGTCCTATTTCTGTCCCTTGTTTGAACCGAGCAAAAACGCCATCCTCAACAAAGCCTGATTGACTTTCTTGAGGCCCATGGTCTGCCTGCATTGAAACAAAGATGCAGCACAAGCGGCGAAGGAAGAACAAGCAGTGAACATCCAGAGGAAAATCCTGGCAATGCAGAAAGCCTCTTAGGAGCAAGGCTCAAGGTGCGCTTGACCTGCCCTTCCACGAAGAGTCTCACTTTGCACCACACGCGCAATTCGGACAAGCGACCAAATGTACGGCTGCTGCAGCATCAACTCATCCATTATGCCCTGCGCGTCATCGGCGTGCATAAACCTGGCAGGCTGCCGCAATCATGGTGCCCGAATGTGCCCGAGGTGGGACGCCGGCCTTGTGAGAGTGAGCATCGCATTCCACAGGCCTGAAAGCGTGCGACCGAAAAATGTTCTTGGTCAAGTCTTGACCAAGCTCCCAGCCGAAGAAGCGCGATTGAGCTGTCTGAGAATCCTCAGAACCAGTGGTCTTGAGCAGGCAACTTTGAAGCGGAACATTCCAGCCAACACCTCCAGACGCAACTCTGACAAGTTTCTTCCACTGCGTTGCTGTAGTCAGCTCGCCCAATGAGGTCAACGGCAGCTATCCCAAATACGTACCTCAGAACTTCGGCCAAGCCAACACCTCGAGTGCTCGCCATCGCCTTCCAGCTGCCATGTTCGCTCCCTAAAACATGCGAAACTACGGGGTCCTCTTCGTTTCTCTTAAGGGGGATTCCGATATACAGCACACCCACCCAGATCTCAACCTGACTCCAGGTGGCAAAGTGAAAACGATGAGCACCAGAGCCGAACCCAAAGTGCCTCACAGAATCCAACTGAACTTATGAACCGAGGCACAGGTGGCATGAGTCATATTATGCTTCTGTGGCAAGCACTCGCCGAGTCCACTTCGGACCATGCACCCGCCAATCACAATCAGGTTCCCCTTTTGCTAGAGGGGCTAAGGTCTTCCAGATTGATCCGAACTGAACATTAGGAAGCAGTTGGCCAAGGCTCTTCCACTTTTCAGCAGTCCACGAACTAGCATCCAGAGGTCTTGCATCATCGGTAGGTTTCTTGGCTGGAGGTCGTCACGCGACGTGCTGGTGCAGGCTCCCAACTACCATCCGACCAACAACAAAAAAACTTCTGTGCAGCCAAGCGTCCGAAACACCTTGACCTGAGAAGGACAACTCAACTAGTGTACCTGGGAATGAAACCAAGCCAAGCCTACCGTTCCGTACTCAGACCCCCCGTCATACAAAGGGACCCAAAGCAAGCCATGTCATATTTAGACTAAATGATGTTGGCAAGCGGGGAGTGGGGCGCGTGTCACTCAAGGCGGGCCGCTACGTGATTGCCACATTTCCCCCCAACGTTCACTACCATTCTGCCATATCATTCAAGTCCTCAATGCTCACTTCCCTAATTTTGAATTTGCCATTTAGGCTCCACAACTTGACTCAGGCGCAGACCAGACGCAGGAGTCGAAGCATCCGAATTATGCGGACCGTCTTCCTCGACTTCCCGGCCGCACAAGTGGCATGCATGACTTCGACACTCTTGGAGACAAGGCTCAGAAATCCGGAGGAGTCGGAGAACAAAGGCTGCAGGAACCAGACCGTCAAAACACCAGGTATCCAAACCTCGAATCGAGCAATCTCTACGGATACTCCCAATCACAAGCAAACTAAGCCAGTCGCTATGAACGTGTCTAGGAGGTTCTCAAACACCGTGAGCCACTCCCAGCCGTACACGCTGAGACGAACGCTCCATTCCTGAGGGTTCGTGTTTGCAGTCTTCAATTGAGGCAGGCGCTTGCATGCGAAGCTTCAAACAGGAAGAATGATGTGAGGAAGCTTTCAGAGAAGTTGATGAGGAAGGGCACATTCACCTGGTCCACCTGTGGACAAACCGTCGAAGCAGGGATCCAGGAGCTGCCCTTCACAGTCCAACCTCTAGTGCCATAGTGACAGTGCTGTATACGATCACGCAGCCGGCGCTGATCTCGAACAAGTTGGACTCCACCTCAGCTGGAAAGCTTAAAACTGTTTGTGCAGTACCCCACCCTAGCCAAGACACAAAGGGCCTGGTGACGTACTGATACTTCCTTGGCTGTCAACTGTGAAAATTGGCTGCCTGGAGACATCGAGAAACCTCACAGGATTTCACCTTCTCCGACAAGCAGCATCCCAACGCGACAGGTCTGAGTCGGCAAGCAACCTGTTGGAAATCCCTCCTGAGCCCTCAACCTTTCCGTGGCTGGCTCTGTGCCGTGGGCTGTGGCACTTTCGTTGTGGCCTAGCATACGCCGAGCATCTGGCGCCTGGTGATAGCGCAGGAGCTAGCAACCTCAAGCCCGGGTTCGGAGGGCTGAAAGCGGGACTGCCTCAGGCCAAACGCGAAACCAGCAATATTCGAGGCATAAAGAGCGAATGGTGCAAAGGTGACTAAGCAAACAAAATGCAATCCTTCTGTGATTGCCAACCACGGCATGCAACACCCTGTCTGATCTTCATGCACGTGTGCAAACATAAACATCCGCAACGCCCATTCTTGCACCACTTTGGTCATACGGGAGATGCAGCTGTAAGGTGCCACACACGATTTATCTGAGCTGCTTGATGCGCTCATCCTGAATCGACTTGCGTGCCTTTGCCACACGCTCCTTTTGCACCTCCTTCTGCACATCCTTAAAGCGGCCAGGTCAAAAAACCGATATTGCAAAAAGCCCTGCGTGAAGGCACAAGCGTTGTGCCATGTGCCTTCTTCAAGGGCCCAGGCCTCATCCATCTCGCAAGCTCATGAGGCAGCCAAAGTGTCCCCGGCTTGAGATCAAACTTTGGCGGGAGCAGTTATATAAAGACTTCCTGCAAACTGATCGCCTACCCATGGGCTTGTTAGGCCTCCCGGGTGAACCAGCAAAGGTCAAGCAAAGGTCAAGCACCCAAGAAGAAACTGACAGCACGACCGGCTGTGACTTGTTGGGCGAAGGATCGGACACGGCCATCGCTGTTGGGTGAGGCCCGCAACGTGGCAAAGCTGAAGTCGTTTCAGGCCATGAAACCCTCTCTTGCTGAATCCCGCTCGCCCCAGCTGACTACGAAAGGGAGGGGGATCATTTTCGAACACCGATTTTGGATCATTTTCGAACACCGATGTCCTGGATCATTTTCGAACACAGAGTGGGTCATTTTCGAACACATGGTGGGGTGGGGGGTGGGGTGGGGCAGTTACGTTCGCCTCTTACTGCGTGACCGTGCCACTGCGTCCTGGGGTGGGGGTGGGGGTGGGGTGGGGCAGTTACGTTCGCCTCTTACTGCGCGCCCGTGCAACTGCGCCCTGGGGCTGGGGGAAGGGGGCAACCAGGAGGCTCCGAGTCCCAAGTTACCTTGGCTTTCTGAGCTAAGATGCCCTCGGCGACTTGCGCTCGTTGGCCCTCGTAAAGCCGTGAAAACTCGGCCTAACGGCCGTAACAACTCACGCGGGAAACTGAAAGGCCGTTACTACTCCGTGAAAAAGCCGTGAAAACTCGTGAAATTTCAAGCTCTGAGTTATCTTGTCCTCGCGACACAAAGAACATCCTTAGCTCATACGGCCTAAGTAACTTGCGAATCGGAGCCTCCTGGAATTGCGATCGCCTCCTACTGCGTGGCGGCGCAACTGCGTATTGGGGCTGGGGGGGGGGGGGGGTGGGGCAGTTAAAAGCTTCTTGCTGCGTGACCGTGCGACTGCGTCCTGGGGCTGGGGGGGATGGGGCGGGGCAGTTACGTTCGCCTCTTACTGCGTGACCGTGCGACTGCGCGCTGGTGGTGATGGTGGTGTTGTTGGTAGTGATGATGACGATGTTGATGATGCTGGTCATGATGATGATGATGATGATCATGATGATGATGATGATGTTGACGATGTTGTTTATGATGATGATGATGATGATGGTGATGATATTGATGATGATGGTGATGAGGATGTCGATGGCGATGACTTTGATGATGTCGATGATTATGGTGATGTCGATGTTGATGTTGATAATGGTGATGTTGTTCATGATGATGATGATGGTGATGATGTTTGATGATGATGATGAAGATGTTGGTGGTGATGTTGATGATGGTGATGATGATGTTGGTGTTGATGTTGATGATGGTGACGTTGTTGGTAGTCATGATGACGATGTTGATGTTGATGTTGATGGTGATGGTGATGGTGATGGTGATGGTGATGGTGATGGTGATGGTGATGATGATGATGATGATGATGATGATGATGTCGCTTTGCGTTCCTTGTGCTTTGCTTTCCCGGGTCTACACTTGACGATTGTCTCCCAAAAGCACGGCGCCATCCCTGTGCTACACGTGCATCGTGGTGCGTGTTCGTGCGCCTCATCGTGGTGTGCATGGACACTTGGAAAAAATGGCCGTGCTGCTGTAAATCACATACACTTGAGCAAAACCGCGTTCAAAAGCGAGCCAAAACACGCGTTCAAAAACGACCACCTCCGGTGGGCCCAAGACAAAGGCAGCACAGCCCGCGCAACAGCGCTGGCAGCTGCTTGAAGAAATGTGGGATCACACCCACAGGTAATAAAAGCAAGTTGAACTGTTGCCGTGTAGCACTTACGCATGATGCTCTCGCTCTTAAACCAGATCCGAGAATGTCCGTGAACAGTGAAGACTTCTTATTCTGCCTTCCCGCAACCCACGAAGGGGTGGCGGTGGGGGGGGGCTGAGCCCCGTCGTTTTACCAAAAAGGATGGGCGGGAAGGCTGGCACGGGGACTCCAATGATCTCCCCCAAGCCGACACACACAAACATGTCCCAGTTCGCCTGCGGCGCTTCTTCGGCGCCTGGATGTGGCCGTTTAGGCGGCAAGGTACGCCAGTCATCCGAGGAGCGGGCCGATGTCAGCGCTGCATTTAGGCCATTCCATCGCTCCAGGCATAGTTTGGCATCTGGCAAGGAGCCAAGCCCAACGCCATGCAACAGGGCTGCACATCTGAAGTCCACAACAGCCGAAGCATCTGAAGATGCGACAGTCAGCACAAGAAGACACCTATATAGCAGTGACTTGTGCTGCAGCAGAAGGAATGGCTCGAAGGGAGTTGAATACCAGCATGAAGCAGCAATGCTTGAAAACAAATGCGAAGAGGACCTGGTCCATCTAAGCGGTGCCCAGCCTGCATTGAATATGGTGGATGGTCTAAATCCACCCAGTGGCAAGCGTAAAGCTATGGCCATGCAATTTGGGAAGGCAGATGTCTCGCGTCCAATCCAGACTCATTTTTCACAAGCTGCAGTGTCAACAGTCGTGCCTGACGCATCCTGGAAGCAAACATTGGCTTGGCCTGCAGCTGAAGCACGCACACACAAGTTTATCGGGGGTTGCGTTCTTCCTTGGAACAGGTTGAATATATAATCTACGGATATTTGCCACATTGGGCAGCAAAATGCTCTGCCACATCGGCCCCCTTCCGCGTTCTGCGCTCTGCAACGAAATGCAAATGGCACCACGACAAAGCCCATCTGTGCACGGGAAAATCCCTTTACCAAACACCCGAGACATAGGCAAGGGTTCCCCTTTCTGGTCACAATCAGCCTGCTAGACCAGCCATCGGGCGGCAGAAACATGTCCATGATTTTGTTTATCCCATCCACTCCTGCAGCGGAATCTAGCTGCAATGAGGCTGGAACCTCAACTCCCAAGACACCAACCCATTACGAAGCATGGCAGACTCATAGTGTTGCCTTTTGTTCTTGGTCTGCTGAGGCTGCAAGCCAGGTTGCCCATGAAGGAGCGTAGACCCTTTTGGCCTGAGCCGCAACACAAGACAGCCGTGGGAAATTCGCGCCTCTCAAGGGGCACCTGAGGTATCTGATCCCAACGCAGCACCCCTCTTGGCCCGTGGCTGGACCCCTTGGGCAAAGGTGTGAGACATACCTGACGGGCACACTGCCAAAGTTCTCTCGGCAAGCTGACACAGGCCTGGAACAGTCCAGCCGCAGTCCTCTCAATGCCAGGCCTCGCATCAGCCGCTTCAGACTCCCCCCCCGGCTGAGGCCCGGCTGAGGCCTCTGAGGTCCGAGCTCGTCCGCGGCCTCGGTCGCCTCAGTCTCGGGGTCGGGGGCTGATTCAAAGCGGGCCGCCTAGAAGGCCTCACGGGCCGCACGGGATCCAGGTCCTGCCGCCTCACCCACGGTCTCTGGCAGCTCTGGCAGCTCTGGCTGCTCTGGCTGCTCTGGCCTTCAAAAAAACATGCGCTGCATATTGCTCACTTCGAAACAACCTGTCAGCCAACATCGGAAGATGGGGCACGTGGGGCAGGCATGCCAAGCATGCAGTGTTCACGAGATCTCATTTAAGTTCAGAGCCTTGGCCGCTTCCGTTTCTTCGGCGTCTTCAGCATCGCAAAGGCTACCCCGGTGCAGGACGTAGATGTCAAATGTAACGGGCATTGGAAATCAATGCTGTTCTGGGAAAGCATGTGGGCATGCCTACGGGAACTATTGACCTATTGAGTCTTGTTGCTACTCGCCTGCATGTGCGCCTCATGTTGGGGTTCATGGATTCAATTTGGCCAAGACTGCCCTATGCAAGACGGTAGATTGGCCTTGCTTGTTTGATTGTGTTTGTAGGCGGTGAGTGTTTGGCGAAGCTGCTCTGCTTTCCTTGGGGTCTGCGATGCATGACCGGCTGCCCTTTGAGCAAATCGTTGCTCCGTAATTTCTGTATGGCATCATGAAGTCTTGCAATTCCTGTAACTGTTTCGCGCAGTACGATGCTATTGCTGGCGCTCAAGGCACCCAACGCTCTGCTCCGAAGCCGAAGCCCTGGACAGCGGGGCCCCAAACTTGCCCGCTCATTGGAGAGAAATTGTGCGTGTTCGCCGAGTAGGCAGTGGCCAGCTGCAACAGAGTACTTGGACATCACACACACAAGGGTTGCCAGAGCAATAAACGTCCAGTGCTCATGTTTTGATGGGGAGCATTAAAAAGAGCAAACCCGACTCCCCACGAAGCGTCGCGCCCAGCAATAGTGGAAGCACGCTCGTCAGAAGCGCAACTGCAGAAAAACATGATGACATGCTGGAAAGTTACCCCACTCCTTTTTACGAAGGCATAGGTGAAAGCGTCCTCATCCTCGGAGGAAATGGGTGCAGCTTTTTCTGCCCCAAGGTGTCACGCGCAAGTATGACAAGCATACACCGTCTTGCTGTACTGAGAGGCTTGAGGCATTTGCCTTCCACTCTCGAGCTTTGTTTTAGATACTTGAGCAACCTCATGTGGCAGGGCTGTCAAAAGAAGTGGACCTTTCCGGGACCAAGGCTTCTGCTGCGCATTCTTGGAGCCAAAAGAAGGGGCCCTGCTTTTGACAAGCTCCACCAATATGAAGCCTCATCAGATCTGGGCATTCAACTCCTTCCGCCTCAGCGTGGTCCAAAAAGTTTGCTGGCCTTTTCAAGGCCTCAGCTATCCCAAACCACTATCTCCAATGGAGTATGGTGTATAAACTTATAAGCCCCTGAGTAGCAATATAATGGAATCATACTCCACTTAGTTGGTTTGCAGTGGTGGGAAAGTCCCTCTTAGACCATCAAACTTGCTAAATGGTGCATGGCCTTTGCTCCCTTAGAGTTTCCTGTGTGTCTGTGTGTCTGCTTCTTGTGCGTCCGTGCATGTGGGCGCTTGTTCGCCTGTGCTTCTGCACGCCTGCGTCTCTGTAAATCCTGTGCTGTCTGTGTCCTGCTGTCGTGTCTGTCCTGTGTGTCCTGTGTGTGTCTGTCTCTGTGTCTCTGTGTCTCTGTGTCTCTGTGTCTCTGTCTCTCTGTGTCTCTGTGTCTCTGTGTCTCTGTGTCTCTGTGTCTCTGTGTCTCTGTGTCTCTGTGTCTCTGTGTCTCTGTGTCTCTGTGTCTCTGTGTCTCTGTGTCTCTGTGTCTCTGTGTCTCTGTGTCTATGTGTCTCTGTGTCTCTGTGTCTGTGTGTCTGTGTGTCTGTGTGTCTGTGTGTCTGTGTGTCTGTGTGTCTGTGTGTCTGTGTGTCTGTGTGTCTGTGTGTCTGTGTGTCTGTGTGTCTGTGTGTCTGTGTGTCTGTGTATCTGTGTGTCTGTGTGTCTGTGTGTCTGTGTGTCTGTGTGTCTGTGTGTCTGTGTGTCTGTGTGTCTGTGTATCTGTGTGTCTGTGTGTCTGTGTGTCTGTGTGTCTGTGTATCTGTGTGTCTGTGTGTCTGTGTATCTGTGTGTCTGTTTGTCTGTGTGTCTGTGTGTCTGTGTGTCTGTGTGTCTGTGTGTCTGTGTGTCTGTGTGTCTGTGTGTCTGTGTGTCTGTGTGCCTGTGTGTCTGTGTGCCTGTGTGCCTGTGTGTCTGTGTGTCTGTGTGTCTGTGTGTCTGTGTGTCTGTGTGTCTGTGTGTCTGTGTGTCTGTGTGTCTGTGTGTCTGTGTGTCTGTGTGTCTGTGTGTCTGTGTGTCTGTGTGTCTGTGTGTCTGTGTCTCTGTGTCTCTGTGTCTCTGTGTCTCTGTGTCTCTGTGTTTCTGTGTATGTGTGTGTCTGTGTGTCTGTGTGTCTGTGTGTCTGTGTGTCTGTGTGTCTGTGTGTCTGTGTGTCTGTGTGTCTGTGTGTCTGTGTGTCTGTTGGTCTGTGTGTCTGTGTGTCTGTGTGTCTGTGTGTCTGTGTGTCTGTGTGTCTGTGTGTCTGTGTGTCTGTGTGTCTGTGTGTCTGTGTGTCTGTGTGTCTGTGTGTCTGTCTCTTGTCTGTCTCTGTCTGTCTCTGTCTGTCTCTGTCTGTCTCTGTCTGTCTCTGTCTGTCTCTGTCTGTCTCTGTCTGTCTCTGTCTGTCTCTGTCTGTCTCTGTCTGTCTCTGTCTGTCTCTCTGTCTGTCTCTGTCTGTCTCTGTCTGTCTCTGTCTGTCTCTGTCTGTCTCTGTCTGTCTCTGTCTGTCTCTGTCTGTCTCTGTCTGTCTCTGTCTGTCTCTGTCTGTCTCTGTCTGTCTCTGTCTGTCTCTGTCTGTCTCTGTCTGTCTCTGACTGTCTCTGTCTGTCTCTGTCTGTCTCTGTCTGTCTCTGTCTGTCTCTGTCTGTCTCTGTCTGTCTGTCTCTGTCTGTCTCTGTCTGTCTCTGTCTGTCTCTGTCTGTCTCTGTCTGTCTCTGTCTGTCTCTGTCTGTCTCTGTCTGTCTCTGTCTGTCTCTGTCTGTCTCTGTCTGTCTCTGTCTGTCTCTGTCTCTCTCTGTCTCTCTCTGTCTCTGTCTGTCTCTGTCTGTCTCTGTCTGTCTCTGTCTGTCTCTGTCTGTCTCTGTCTGTCTCTGTCTGTCTCTGTCTGTCTCTGTCTGTCTCTGTCTGTCTCTGTCTGTCTCTGTCTGTCTCTGTCTGTCTCTGTCTGTCTCTGTCTGTCTCTGTCTGTCTCTGTCTGTCTCTGTCTGTCTCTGTCTGTCTCTGTCTGTCTCTGTTTGTCTCTGTCTGTCTCTGTCTGTCTCTGTCTGTCTCTGTCTGTCTCTGTCTGTCTCTGTCTGTCTCTGTCTGTCTCTGTCTGTCTCTGTCTGTCTCTGTCTGTCTCAGTCTGTCTCTGTCTGTCTCTGTCTGTCTCTGTCTGTCTCTGTCTGTCTCTGTCTGTCTCTGTCTGTCTCTGTCTGTCTCTGTCTGTCTCTGTCTGTCTCTGTCTGTCTGTCTGTCTGTCTCTGTCTGTCTCTGTCTGTCTCTGTCTGTCTCTGTCTGTCTCTGTCTGTCTCTCTCTGTCTCTGTCTGTCTCTGTCTGTCTCTGTCTGTCTCTGTCTGTCTCTGTCTGTCTCTGTCTGTCTCTGTCTGTCTCTGTCTGTCTATGTCTGTCTCTGTCTGTCTCTGTCTGTCTCTGTCTGTCTCTGTCTGTCTCTGTCTGTCTCTGTCTGTCTCTGTCTGTCTCTGTCTGTCTCTGTCTGTCTCTGTCTGTCTCTGTCTGTCTCTGTCTGTCTCTGTCTGTCTGTGTCTGTCTGTGTCTGTCTGTGTCTGTCTGTGTCTGTCTGTGTCTGTCTGTGTGTCTGTGTGTCTGTGTGTCTGTGTGTCTGTGTGTCTGTGTGTCTGTGTGTTGTGTGTCTGTGTGT